CCCTTGTCACAGTCCAACACTGGGACCAGGTTCTTGGAGCTGACCCATGGATGGAAGGTGTCATGCTTAATACCAAATTTACTTTAAGATGGTTGATGTCACTTTTATATCACTGAAGTGATATAAAGTATACTGAAAACACAACACAGTCTAAGTTACGCTTTGCAAAATGTAGCAATTGTGATACACAGTTCTATCACAATACCAGTGCAATTCCCATTACTGGTCCCTATGGTATCCTCACCATCACCACGCAGGGTGTCCCCAGTCCCCGGGAAGGAATAGGAGGGTTGATGCCAGCTCAAGCCTGTGGCACTCTGTGTATTTGCTCTCCCATGCTGGTCTGGCCAGCTCAGGGAGACACTCACTCTCTCTAAAGTACTCTGGGAGAAACATTTACACCACCAGTTGATCCACTCAACTGTTGATAGCCGTTTATCTGAAAGCAAGGCCACCCTCTGGTCCCCTTGGTGTTGAGATAAAGTCATCTTTGCAACAGCCGTGGTCCATCACACCCTGCGTCATTCCCTGATCTTCACAAGCGCATCACCCTTGCCCATCTCTCAGCCTTATTCCGTTTTAGGGGCTTACTGGTCAGTCACACCCATGTGAAACCAACCTCAAAACCACAAATGCAACAGAAAGCAAACATCTCTTCCTCAACAAACTCTCAGTGAGTTCGGCTTAAAGCATACAGTTTCTCTTTAACACCAGCCTTGAATATATCTGAACAGTACATCCATTTTGCTACAGCGTATTTTTATCTACTATGTAGGCTATGGAGAAAGTGTAATGCAAAGAAGGCTAAATAGAGCCAAATCAAAGTTATTCAGAAATACTGTAAACAGGTTATTCTTACAGTGCACTAACTTGTCAATGGATTTGACCTGGGCCACTGTTCAGTTCTCTGTAGGATGTTTTAGTCCTCTGCCCTCCCCCGCCCAGTGCCAGTACTCCTTCAATCACTAATGATACGATAGGGCTTAACTGTGTTTTCCTCTGGACAGCACATGTATAAACCGATGTTTTCGCAGGCAAAACCCATTATTCACTCTTCAGAAGGCAACTAGTTTGTGTGGAAAAGGTAGTTTAAACATTCATGTAAGTTTAGAAAGGATCACCTTACAACAGATGAACACAGACTTTCCAACCATAAAACCGTATATTTGGAGCAAGTGAAAGTTTACTTGCTTGTCAAACAGGCTCTGCTTGGGGTGTGCAAATTCTGCATTTTCTAATATAGGTAAGATAAGGGTGATTAGAAGTATTTGAGTTGGTCAACAATTTTTGCTGTGGTGTTTGGGTGTTTTTTTTTTTAAAGACTAAACCGGACCACCATCAACTCTCATGCAAAAAGAAGTGTCCCTGTAAATTTAGTTTTTACTTTTGAGAAACCTTCAATTTCATGGTAAGTATCAAAGTATGTAGTATGTAACAGGCATTTTAACATGCCTGTTTCCAAAAATGAGTACTATATGATCACAGAGGAAGGAAACAAATTAACTAGAACCCCATCCGTGTTTTTTACTGGGTAACAGTATCCCAACAACTCAAATACTATTGTTTTCCAAAGTGAATGAGTCCCCTGAAATGTAGAGCCAGAAGTTCTCTATTTTTGACATTAGAGAATTATATGTTTTAATGATTTGTGCTTTAATTAAAAGTTTTCAGGCAGCTGAGATTCTTGCATTATTTTTCAGAGTACATACGATATGATATGATGGTTTTGTGCTGAATTTTTTTAGAATGCTGGAAATAAAAGTGAAAAAACAAACTTCTGATTATTATTTTTAATTTTACACAATTCATGTTTACAATTCTCACTTCAATATTTTGTATAAAATCAAATACAATATGCAGTATTTTCAAATGAGACACAAATGCATATTGAACTACTTAATATTACAAGATAATATGAAGCTTTATCTTAAAAATACCTTCAGCAAAATAAACTCCCATTCTGTCAATCCAAGTTAAAAAAATATGATTAGAAATATACAATTTAAAAATAATCAGGATGAACAGTACTGATTAGTCAAGAAATTTTAGATCTTGATAGTCTGTACACGAGTTTACGCCAGACAAACAGTCTGCAAACCATTAATATAAAAACTGCAGTGCAACAAACGGGTGAACATCACATTTTTTCTTTTTTTTTCCCCATTTTAATGCATGAGTCTCTACAAATCTCATTTTTTTTTAAATCAGCAGCACTTCCTCTCTTGTCATACTGGGGCAAAAAGACAAGGTCTGGGTTAACAGCTGAGTTAAGTTATTGATGCTGTAATGGAAGCTAGCAGTTGGGCCCAAGATATTACAGCTTTTGAATATGTTGCATACTTTTGAATAAGAGATCAAGGGAGAATCCATCTGTCGTGTTTGAAAGGGGAAAGAATTTCTAAGGAAAAACTCCTAACTGGCGACAGCAGAAATAACTTAACTTCAGCTGCTCTGTGGTACAACGGTGATGCAGCTGCCACCACACATTCCATTTTGGCACATAACAGTTCAAAGATTTAGAAACCAAGGACTCCCTCACCCATGCCCACTCTTCATTCTTGTACTTAAGACAGCTTTGGTATGGTGTAATAAAAATGCTAGACAAAGTACTAAAAATTCAGAACAAACTAAGCAATACAATTAGATGGGACACAATGAGGTAATGAGTTAATTTTCCATATAAGGCTGTTTGGAGAGTTCATATGTAAAATCCCTTTGACATTTATGTGTTTCTCACTAAAATACTGGGTGGTGGAAGGGGTATCCTGAAACACACTCATGCCAAACATGCAGTTTTGGTTTAGCTAGAGTTGCTATTGTGTGTGTTTGTGCACTTGTTTTATGCAAATTTACTTCTGATGAACCTGAAAGTGCTAATGGCTCTGCTGGTTACTTTAAAAAAGGCAAATTCCAATTTGGAATTTGGAAGGGGTGTGAAATAGACTGATTATTTTTAGGTTAAAAAAAAAGATGCTAAAAGAGGAAACTCAACTGAGAGAAGGGCAAAGCGAAACACAATAAATATTACTAAATCTTTCTTGTTTTGACTCTCACCCTCTCATGTCACCATCCCTTCTGCCTTCCAAGATAAGAATTTTCTTCAAAAATAAACACAGATTCATATTTGCACAATATACCTACTGTTGTGGTTACCTGTACTTCAGCTTTCGGGCAAGTGGCTTACTTAAAAAAAGAGAGAGACAAGAAATTTTAATCGCTCTTATGAGGGTGAATTCTGTCCCTCTCTTTTAGGTGCTTTTCACCTAGAAGAACATGGTGGTGAGGGTGAAGATTAAGAGGAAAACAAAAAATATTTGGGGTCTGAGCCTCAGTGGTCCTTTATTTCGCACCATACAAGCCTCTTCTGTTTTCTTTATATTCATATTTGCGAATTTTGACTATCCAAACTCACGGATGCTACCTGTAAGCTTACTTACACTTCACATCCTGCTTCCCCTCCAACTCATGATGCTCTTGCCAGAAAATGTTTTCAAGCCAATGTGTGGTTATTCATATTGGTATTCAAAAATCACCAGCCTAACAGAAAGCTTAATTTTAGTTTAAAGGGATGTAGATTGAAACTAGTCACCGAACCTGCCCATTTACATTCATAAAAAGAAAATTCTCCGCCTTGCAGAGGTAATCCATATCTTTAAAAACTTCAGTTATTCCATTGCTAACATTTCACATCTCTCCCTTTCTTCTACTTTCTACTGTAAGAGTCACTAAATGAACAGATAACTGTATCATATTTAAGGCTATGTGGTAACAGCCCTCATCTGAGGGATATGCAGCGGTAAACTTCAGTTGGCAGACAAGGGTATATCACTGCAAAGCCAGCTTTGAGATTTCATAATGTGAGAAGTGGTAGGGAAAAAACGCTGCCAGTGTCTGAAGACAGTCTTGTAGTGGATGAAAACTTCAGTCTCGGACAGATTCCTCTAAAAATTACACTGCTTTTTAACAGAGGTTAAGCTGTAGTTTTTAAAGTGTTAATTAGATGTTAAAAACTGTACCTGCCCCTGAGTTCCACTACCAATCTCAGCTGTACAGCAAGCTTGTTTTCCCTTTTTTGTGTGCTGCACTCATTAAGTGTCTCAAAGCTAAAAAACAGTGACATCCACATGTTCTCAAGTGTACCAATAAAACCGGGGAAAAATTCTTACCTTTTAGATATGGTAATCTAAAGTTTCACCTAAAAGACTTGAAGATAGGAAAATAAACAGTAATGACATTTCAATATGACAGCACTGCTTTAAATGGTAAGCTGTTTTTCCTCCCCCTTAAAATCATACCAGATTTAAAGCAATTACAACTAGTTAAAAGAGCCATTGGTTGTGAACAACTAAAAATCTATTACTATTAAAAACAAGTTAATTGCTTATAGTTAGTTTTTTCAAAATAAACAAACCACACAACCTTTGAAAATAAAGCACTCTTTGGTGGACAATAGTTACTTTGTGTACGCAATACTGCGGCTTCATAAAAAACTTCATACAAAATAAGAAAGAATAGCCATTTAACACAGGAGAGTACCAATACTATAAGAAAAAAGCTTTTGTCGTTGATTTGCAGTCTCAAGTGGAGACTTGAGCCCAGTCTGAATGGACAACACAGATTTATACATTTAAAAGCTCCCACCATCTTTTAAGTTCTGGTGGTCAGCAGCTAAGTGATTGCCATCACAATTTATACACATGCATCATACATACCAGCAAGCCCTCTTTATAATAGAGAGCTTAAGTATTTACACCTGAGTCTAAATGTACACAGATTTTGTTGGGGTTTTTTTGAGGAAGTGTTAGCCCATTAGTTAGGAAAGTCTCTACCAAGCATGTTGACAGTTCATTTTATTCTATAAGTACTGAAGAGATTAATCTGTTTCACTTTTGCTGAAAAATGGAGCCAAAGTAATCTTCCTTGAATTGCAGCAAGTCCCCTATAGTTACATCCCCTTCATTCCTGAATATCCTTTTCAACACTGGTTCCTTATTTGAAATTTAACGCAATACTGTTCTAGTCCTTGAGACGGCTTGGCTGCTGAAATAAAACATATTTGAGGAACAAAGTTAAATAGGTACTCAATATGTACTTAAGCAAACATTTCTGGCAAGGTAAAATGAGCAAACAATACTTCAAAGAAAGAAACAGAAGATAAAAGTCACTGCATTTAAGAACACAGCAATATTGGTTGTAAAGAAAGCATGGACTGGTCTGATCACAGACAATATGAAGGAAGGTTCTGTTCCATACAGAAAAGCAACACAGGATTCAAAGTACCATAATTTCATTAAGCGCATTTGCTGTAAAGCATTCCTTTTCTTTCTCTCCCACTGAGGTATCATACTGTAGGAAAAGTACAAAGAATAGTAAAGAAACATTAATTTTTTTTAGATTACATATAGACAAGCTCTGAAATGCTGCAGGTAGTTTTCAGTGTTTGAACAAGGTGCAGAAGGCTTGTTTACAATTCCCAGCAAAGCAAAAGCATATGAGATTTTTAAAGCATATTCCTGTCTGTTAGTTTTTGTGATATACCTCTCTGGTTAAAAGAAGTAAAGGAATCTATACAATATAGTTTTCATACATTTTCCCCCATACTCCCAATTATTTTTTTGTAATAACTTGACCTGCATTCCCTTAAGCACCTCTACCTACCAAAATTCCTTTACCACTCAAGATTTCATTTCTAATCAACTACTTACTATAGACTTGATCCTAATTCTGTTATGTGTGGTAACACGGAAAAGACTGTTTCATTTATGTCTTAATATGATTCAGCTGGTTTGGATCTGATGTATGCACCTTGTTAAAATACAAACATGAACTTCTCAGTAATTGGCAAATTACTGAGAAACAAGGGAGAAACAAGGGCATCCACAGAAAAAGACTCTGGATAAAACTCTAGTAATACGATTTGTTGCAGTTCCACAACAGTGTTATTTCAATCACAAGATATAATGTGTTATGTCCACCAGTACTGGTCTTTCGTAGAAGGCAGCTGACATCTAGGGATGTTCCGCAAAGGAAATGCAGTGAATGTTATGAATAGGATTGGAATTCCCTAAATTCTCTTTGCAAAGGCAGAATAGTGCTTTAGCTGTAAATGGCTGTTTTGGCTGAAAAATCATTCTGGGAGCATTCTATGATAGTGTCTCCAACAGTCTGAAGGATGAAATGGCAAATGAACTACCCAGCTCTGCAGATTATAGTGCATTAGGATGGGCTGCAAATGTGATTCATCTGCAGTAAGAGTTGACTAAAATGACCTACAGTATCAACAAATGAGATGAATGTAAAAATACTGCAAGATGTTTCCACTAGAACATATCAGAAAAGAAAATCAAAGAATAAGGGTACACAGTAATGTCAGAAGTTCAGAGAAGGCAACAAGGTCTTGACAAAGACAGATGTTGGTTAGGGCATGATCTCAATTTTGTAATAGTAATTCTCCTCTACCTTGCAATCCACTTGATCTGGAACGCGTCCGACAATCTGAGCACTATGAGGTAATGCAAACTGCACAGACTTCAAGAAATTAAAATAAACTTAAAAGAGATGAAAAAACAAAGGGATGCTTAAAAAAAAAAATGAGTGACATTTTGCCAAATGCTACAGGAAAAATAAAAGGACACCTACAAGATTAACAACAAGGTACTGCATTCTAAGTCCACGACATTGTACAGTCATACCAAAATACCCTTGAAGGGACCAGCACCCAATTAGCCCTGACAGATGACAAGATAATTAAGAACTCCAGAACTGTCATATAACTATTTAGGACAAATTGGATTATTGGATCCAAGCATAAAATAACTGGAACTCTGACCTCAAAAGTTAGAAGAAAGAAACAGTACATGGAATAAAATATTTGGGGTCGAAGTTTTAGAAAACCCATTAAAATATGAAGTAGTTTATGAAGTTTGAGATCAACCTGATCCTTGGTCCTCAGAGTCATAAATCTGGCAATACACCTAATGGATTTCTTTCAAAATAACTGAAATCTTCTACGAACTCTATTTTAGGGATGTTGTTTCCAATAAGGGCAGGTATTCTCATCTCACACAACACAAAGGTCAACTCGGAGGGGTGTTTTCCAGGAACTGAAAATCTCTGTTCAGTTACACATGTGCATGTATACAACTACCAAGAGTTGCAAGGCGCTTAAAACTGGGAGAGGCATGAAGAATAAAAACAGCAGGCAGAATCCCATCAATCTGTTTGGACCAAAACTGACAAGGTGAAAACGACACAAAATGGAGGAAAAAACCCAACCGATCAAACAGGAAAACCCTGAGAAATACTTCAGATTTTTAGTAAAACATGCATTTCAGGAAAAAGAGATTATTTTTTAACATATTGTTATATGAATCAAAATGTAATTCATATAGCCACTGCTAAAAATTCTCTGACTAGAATTTACTGCAGTCTACTATTAATGACTATTTCTGTTGCCTGATAGAGTGAATTTTTCATAACTTCTGCTGCCTTCAAGGTAATAGGATAAGGAAGGGGAAAGAAAAGCTCTGTGGGGAAAAACCTGCACAAAAACTTGGAATTTTCAGCAATATTTATAAATCAAGCTACATAACTACTTTTTATGTTATTTGCCACCTTTTACTCTTCCCAACAACAGTAAGTCCCCTCAGCACCTGAGAGACCCATTCAAAAGTTTTTCACTGTAAGCACAAGACAAATTCTGGTCAATTGTAACCACTGGAAATTGCTTGGAAATTGTTTTAAGCTACACTCCCAGGCTCATCTTTGATAATGACCTGGAGAGCTGCCATATGCTTCTGGGCCAAAAGGCACTTTCTGTCTTGCATAAATCGATCCAAATTTAAAATTTCATTAAGCTTTACCAAACAGGTTCAGTTCACATCATCAGTCATTCTCTCAGTACAAAATCTCATTCCGCTATACACATGCATTTTATATGCTTCATCTCTCCACTACTACTGCATTTCAGTTGTCCACCAAATTCCTCTTAGTTTTGACTTCATGTACTTACTAATAATTGACTTGATGCTGTGAACAACTTTTCAACCTCTTACACCAGGCAGAAGTTTGGTAAAGAAAGGCTTTTTTTTCCATTACCAAAATGTCTCACCTTCGGTAATTCCGACTCACATGAGGAATTACAATATAAAATTCTTGAAGTTGAAAGACTGAGCAACATAAACAAATGACATAAGATTTAAGGTTCCAGATATTCTCAGTACATGACACAAACAGTAAAATTGTTTCTTATTTCCTGTTGCTAGGAGGAGGAGTTCAACTGTGGCAAAAGCTCCTGTCAGCAATGGATATGCCAGCTCAAAGTATTTGCCTCGAGAATAGTTACTGGATCTGTAAAGAGGGTAACTCTCACCTTTTTAAACTGTTTTTTCTTGCAGCAGACCTGGTAGTTCTTTTAGTAATGTCTGTACTGTCAGAAATGCTAGGTTCAGAGGTTTTATTTTTCTGAACAGTGGACTGCAGAATTACTCTGAAAAGAGTAGGAAAAAAGAAAGATTATATAACCTGAAAGTTTCTAGGAAAACACCGAAAAGAGGATATTACAGTTGCAGCAGAGCTAACAAGTACCAGCTGGCTTTTCACAAATCATTCTGAAAAGCAAATTGTTCTGTCTGAAAAACATCCTTTTCTTTATAACATCCTTGTTATAACTATGGTAATGCAAGTTGTTTTATTAGGAGCATAGCAGTTTGTTTTGTTGTGGGGTGTTTGGGTTTTTTTTTTGCTTTCACAGAATGGACTAAATTAATGGTTTTGAATTTCCTGTTACGTTTTTGGGAGACATAAAGCTAAGAAGCTGTACTTTAAATTACTGCAACAAATCAAAAAAATGAGAAAATCTGAAGTATGCAACAAAAACATACGTTATTTTCCAGACTGACACAGAAAGGAATTCAGAAAAAATGCCAAGTAATTCAATCCGTGAAGATCAAAGTCTAAATCTCCTGCAATTAACCATGAGATATTCCCTTCAATAACAGTAGGCTAGGAAAATCATGGCATATGCTGGCATTTTGTGCTTACAGGGAATTACTACACTATACTCAAAACTCAGCTTTACATGCTGGTTGTGCTCAACTGCTCCTCTGGAAGACTCTAGAGCAATATATTGACTATTTCCTAAACAGGCAGATAAATCCTAGTGTTGCTTACATCAATAACAAAAGAACTCCAGATTGTGAAATGCAAACAACTATTTTTAGCCACCAGCCAACTGGTTTGTAGGGAGACCACATCTTCTGTATTCCTAAATAAGTGTAGTGAAATTATGATACTATGGAGACACTAAGTCACAACTGGTCAATGGAGTCCACAGATATGTATTTAGTGCATCATTTTATACGTCTATTCCCTAGTCATTCCCTCTGTGCAGGTTTCCAACCATAGAACTATGCATGATTTTAGAGATTCAGAGCTAAGAGTAACTTCGCTATTACTGTTTTTTCCCCTGCTGTTATTAGACTGTAATTTTCAGTGGATTCACTGAGTCAATCTGTGTCAGCAGATTATATTAGATTGGAAATCAAAATCTTCATTAAGTTATATAAACTGCAGTCTGGTTGATTAATACTCTGAAGAAACTGTTTTCCAGGAATCCTAGACATGAACATAAAACGTAGCTTTTGGAGCAAAAGTGGACAGACATATATGGGAGAAAATATGAGTATTTTCATACTTGTGTAACATATTCACCAAAACCAGAAATGGGAAAAAACCCCTGGACTTTCACTGTTTTATATGGGTTTGATACCACAATTAGAATATGCGTTGGAGAGAACACAATTTCATCTAAAATAAATTCTTTACAACAATAAAACTGATCAGCAACCTCATTTACCACATACTTCTAGACTGTTTAGCAAACAGATGACTACAGAACCACAAAGTTCAAGTATTTTAAATTTCTACTTGAACAAATCTCTCTTAGTATTTCAGACTTGCAAAATCTTGTCACTGGATTTCCAAAAGTTCAAACCAAACAGTCTTCTCTTCCTCCGAGATAAAAGATTGTAATGGCAAGT